TTATTTCACATACCGTTTTGCTTTCTTCTCTTTCAAAAACCATCACTTTCGTCTTACTTGCGTTCACTTTCATTCCCCTTTCTTTTAATGACCTGTTCATTAATGTAACCATCATTTGCAACTCGGCCGCCGACGACGCAAGTATGACTTGATCATCAGCGTAGAGAAGGCATTTGATGGTTAACTCACCCATTCTGAACCCGCTTTCTTCAACTTTCAAATTTTCCAAACAACTGTCCATAAATAGGTTGGACAGCCACGGGGAAGACACACAGCCATGTCTGGCACCTTTATGGTTGCCAAACAAGTCCGAGTAGGCCCCGTTGATCCTAACACTAGCACTCGAGTCCCTATACAGAGACTTTAATGCCTGTATAAACCCAGCGTTCAACCTAAATGAGTTCAGCGTTTGCCATAACACATCCCTTTTCACTCTGTTATAAGCCTTTTCCAAGTCCATGAACGCACAAAAACTTTTTTGTTTTGTCCCAAAAACTTCTCCGCGATCATGCGCATGTAAAAGACTTGATCTGTACACCCCATAACCTTTCTAAATCTCGTTTGCACATCCCAAATTTTTTCATCAGTTTCGTTTATAACTCTTTCAATCAGTACCTTAGCATATAGTTTTCCCACAATGCTAAGAAGGCCGATACCACGGTAGTTTTTACAGTCCTGCTGTGACCCTTTTCCCTTATATATTGGGACTATCACGGCTTTGCACCAGTCTCCCGGTACCCGTTTTAGTTCTTAACGTAAATTAAACAAGGTTTACAACAGGCCTGCCGCCACTTCCTCTCCAGCCCTTAGCATTTTGAGTGGAACTCTATCATATCTGGCTGCCTTACCTACTTTCATGCTTTTCATTGCTTTCATTATTTCGTCTATACTTGTCTCCCTGTCTCTATTTCATTTAGTTCACCCGTCTCCTCACTCATAAACACGCTTTCAAAATATTCCTTCCATCGCTTTAGACTTAACACTTCATCATTCAGAATACAGCCATTCTCGTCTCATATCGCATTCAATCTAGGCTGTTTTGAATGTCCCCTGGTATTCATTACGAGTTTCCAGAATATTTTAATATTTGCCTGGAAGTTATCCGATATTCTTCTATCATTCTTATGCGTTCTTTCTTGCTTTTTCCTTTCAACTAATTCGTTTTACTCTCTTATTTATAATTTTAAATTCTGCCTTTTTTCTTTCAATCTCATCATTCATACCGCCAGAATTACCAGCTTTGGTTGCTAGTAAATCTAGCCATGCTCTCTTCTTAGCTTCAACTTCCATACGTACCTCATCATCCCACCATAACTTATTGTCTTTTCTTTCATTCGTTCTCTTACTAACACCACATACTTCGGTAGCTGCATCCACTAAACCTTTCTTAACATTATGCCACACATTCTCCAAGTCTAACTCATTCACACACAACTCATCCAAAATACTTATATTTTCTCTCAATCTACATTTGTACTTGTCTTTCATATCTTCATCTTGTAATCTCTCAATTCTTATACGCTGTAACGCAGTGGTAGACACAGATGTCCGATGCCGCCAAAGTCTGAATAAACTCCTAATTGGCAGCCAGGTAGTGGTCCGTCCCTACGTTGGACCCCCGGTAAACCCTTGTATCTACCACTGCGCTCCTCATTCTTTCATCCACAGTTATGAAATCTATCGTGCTTCTATCATCACCTCTTTCCCAAGTATACATGTTAATCTTCTTATGACGAAAGATAGTGTTCGTCACAAAAATATTCCTTTCCACACACACGGTGAGGAGGCTTTCACCATTCTCATTATTACTTCCATCACCAAACGTCTCCTTATACGTATCCTTTCATAGCCAGGCCTCCTCACCCCAACCCTTCCATTAAAATCTCCTAACATAACAATATTTTCATTTTCCTTACATTTCATTAACACCATCCTTACCATCTCCCAAAACTGCTCTCGGATATAAGTGGGCTTATACATGTCTAGGGCGTAGACCTCTAAAACAAACAACTTCTTTAGGCCCACTTTTATTCGTGTCCATAGCAGTCTCGGGCTTACACATTCATACTCTTTCACACATTGACCCATTCTTTCTGAGAGGATGATACTGACTCCCTGGCATGCCCGCTCGGTCTCGTCTACACCGGACCAGTACGCGGTATATATGCCATGTGTAGTGACATCCTTTCTCTTCCGCTTCGTCTCATTTACACATAACACATCTATTCCTCTATCATACATCATATCGCATACTTCATCCATCTTATCATTTATTGCTCCACATACATTCAGCGTAGCTAGACACTTACAATGAGGTGGACTGTGAGCTGCTTTGTCACCGTTATTATGTAAAGAAAATCATGATTACTGATAGCGGACTTTTTACGCTAGCACTATTATGTTCTTTTAAGTGGATGTAAGTAAGATATACCACATAATGATTTCTTAAATTTACGCGAACACTACACATTTAATCTAAATCTCTATTTACGGGTTTATCGCGTTTAATAAACTATTTAACTTATTTTTAATACATACGTTACATTACATTGGCCAAAAAAGATCTATAAAAGACCCGTGTGAAAGAACATGACAAGCTGACGTGAAGCACCGACGCTCCGGGAAATCTGAAGTCTGTGAATATATTCAAGATCGTCCCACCATTACATGAGATTTAATAAACCACAAATCCTCGCAATAGAACACCAAGTCCTACCAAGGATGTGAAATATGAATGAAAACACAATTAATTCATAATATACTAAATTAGATTATTTAGTGCGATTGCCAAGTCAATCTATATTTAAAACATAAAAGGTTTTTAATATTGATATGGTCACTATAAGATGTTGTAAGATTATTTAATTACGTAATAACTTAAGACAGAAGATCCCACATTTTTTCCTTTCCGGTACCTTCTTCTTCTTGAATACCAACAACGTACCTATCTACACCTATTATTCCATTATATTATACAATACAGGTACACTGATTCATTCACTGCAAATGTAACTTTGTAATCATATATATTATTATAGGAGTCGCAGGAAGTATAATGATGCACTAGGTTACTTGTTGTTTACTTTACTAGTTCACAACTCGAATAGCCAGTCAATAATTATTGCAATCGTTTAAATCATGGTGGTAGCATATCCCTACTACCTATCAAAACTGAACCTAGCAATAGTTTGAATGTGTAAGAATTATACAATCCAAATAATTTTATAATATGAAAAGAAATAAAACGCTGTTATAAATATTACTGATAATTGAATTAATTACAAATGTTTAGAAGACGAAAATAATTATATAGTACTCTTTGTAAATACCTCAAATTCTAAATTAGAAATAAACTGAGAAATGATCTATGATAATTATTAAGACAATATATAATGATTAATAATAAATTTTATATTTGATAGTTAAAAAAATAATATAAGAGCAAAACGATAATTATACAAATATTATTTATAACGATTCATAATAGAAATTATGTAAAAAGTAAAAATCACTGATAACAATATTTAAATGGGATTACAAAGTTTTTTTCATAGGATAGGATGACAAACGAGCACACAATCCACCTGATGGTAAGTGGTTGCTGTGGCCCATAGACATCTACATCTATCCTCGATTACGAATCAAAATACAAATGCGTTGTCATCCGTTAGGACTTGGGTGGAATGCCTCGTTTCCAGTAAAAAGGGTCTCCAGTTCTCTACACTCACGATACGAAACACAGCAGCATTAAGCTACTATTTGACGCTGGTATTCTATGAAAGCGTGGTCCTTCCCGGTCGAGCTGACCCATTCGTGCTACAACTATATTACTAATATAACTGCAGCATGGCTATATATTATATTATTATATAGTTATTTATACAGATAGTGTATCTTGAAACCTGGACCAAAATTGCAAAATATTTTAGTTTTTTCTTGATTTATACTCTAAACACTGATTGTATTTTAAATTCGAAGCTTCTATGTTTGCTAAAGGTGCCTTAGAGTTTTGATGATCGGTCAGTCAGTCAGTGGGTGACAAAATTAAGAAACTTTGACTATTGATTAATCTACTCTTACGGATTTTATCAAGTTTTATTTATTTTTAATACCCGACGTTTCGGGTGCTTTCCAGCACCCATGGTCACGGGGGACTGGGTGCTGGAAAGCACCCGAAACGTCGGAATTAAAAATAAATAAAACGCGATAAAATCCGTAAGAGTAGTTTTAATCAATGTGTAGTGTTCGCGTAAATATAAGAAATCATTATGTAAACTTTGACTAATAAAAATTCCTAAACTACTGGTTCAAATTGAATGAAATTTGAACCAGTAGTTTTAAATTATAAAAATATACCGTGCTCATACAATTTCTGCTTGGTTACTGAAAATTCAGGTTTCTAGTTTTATCCACTACGAAGTTATAGAGCGTCGAAAATGGCCTGAATCACTTCGAGAAAAGTATGGTACGGCCGTGCCGCTTTTTTGCTCGAATTGCCGTGGACACTGCCGTGTCCCCAGATAGGCAGTTACTTTCCCTTTTTTCCCCTCATGTTCAAAGAGATATAAAAATCAATACAGATTTGACGTGAACTTTGTGTGGTGCTTGTTTTAAATTTTTGTCATACATGCCTTATTTTTTTCCATTATATAGGTAGTTTACAAACATAAATTGCACATGGGCATTCGTCTTAACCCGAAACAATTATAAGTAGATCATATATATACTTGTTTTGACGGGATTCGAACCACGCAGGCGTAAATAATGTTAAAAAATAATGTTGTGTGTGGCTCCTACAGAATATTAGCGCCGCAGTAACTCGGTTGTACCGTTCTGTTGCTGTAATCCGGAGTGAAATTTGTTTTGTTTTATAAGGTTATTATTTTTAATTTTTAGTGTTTGTAGCTACTAATAATCTATGTTTCTTGAAACGGACAGTAGGTATATAATGAGCGGATTATAAAATATGACATAAATTACAGTACTTATTTTTGTTACAGATATTCAACTGGGAGAGGAGCGTTCAGGATACCATCCTCTCTTCTTTTTTCTGGGGCTACATTGTGTTGCAAATTCCCGCTGGATTACTCGCAGGAAAATTCGGTGGAAAAATGCTCATTACTCTCGCTATGGTCACCACGGGATTAGTCAACTTAGTCACACCTTTAGCTGCTACTAAAGTAAGTATATTTTTAAATCAGTAGGATACAACAACACAACACATATTTAAAAGATCGTATTGATATATTATTACCTAATAATAACAATAATAATGTCCTCCGGACCGAATTTCGGCCATGGCGGCCTGACCCAACGGAGGCTAGCCATCGGCGCAGGACAGGATTATAGTGCCCAAGTGTATGCGCAACCACAGGTGCACTCTCTATTCTCTCACTCTCATAATCCGAGGGGACGGTAAACCGACACTATCGGAGAGAGATCAGGCGCAGGACCAACGGCTTTACGTGCTTTCCGAGGCACGGGAGTGAGACACCTTCAACTTTCTGACTCCGGGCAAATACTGAGAATTTCTTGACGGAAAACTTCAATAATAATTTTTTTTTGAACCGACCCGGGATTCGAACCCAAGACCTCATGATCAGCAGTCGCACTACTACAACCACTAGACCAACGAGGTAGTCAGTATATTACCTAATATCATTGTCGTCATCATTACAGCCTTTCACAAGTTCACTGCTAACCTTAGACTTCCCCCAAGGAATGCCACAAACACGGTCACGTGCCACCTACATCCATCGACTTCCTGCATATATTAAAATTCATAATTCCATCTAGTTGGAGGCCGCACTAAACTTCGCTTACTAGCACTAGGTTGTCACTCGAGAACCTTTCTTCCCCATCGGTTATTCGGTCTCAGATCTTCACTATTGCGTATACAGATTTTTATGTTTATCTGACAATTCTAAATATTATCAATATTACAACCCAATAAAATCCACTTCTAAACAATGGCAAGGCATTGTGCCGCATTATATAAATATTTTAAGCTGTTATCAGGATTATGCTGTAGCCCATCTACGGTTACTCCTTCTGCTGTCTTTTGCGATACCTACAGCACTATATGGGGTAGTGTACTCTCTTGATGCGACTACTACGCGGCGCAAGTGAAGTGAGATGTTCGTCAATAAGTTAATCAAAGGGCTGATTAATCGCGTGCTTGGCGGATCATGAGGAAACTAAACCATTTATGATAAATTAAAAATGGCGGATATGAAAAAAATTACAAAACGCATTTATGTAGCGCACCAACTCTTAGTTACATTTACTTAAACTGACATGGTTGACGACATGGCTGATTGACATCGGTTTAAAGCACTTGACACGTCAGAAATTAAAATGTTTAAATTAAACGTTTAAATTAAATCCGTATTAATTAGTTTCATTTAATTTAACATTTCTGCCTAGTAACGCCTAATTTTATTAACTATATTAGGTTAATCGTTAACTTTTATGTCACAAAGAATATTACTATTTTTTCTATCAAAAAACACTAGAATTTTCCACTGTATTGTGGAGGCAGTTTACAAACACAAATTTCTCTGAAAAAACACAATTCCGTGCAGGAAACGATCAGCAAAATCATAAATTAAATCAATATTTTCATCAGGGTGATTGGATCGCTGTTTGTGCTTGCCGGATTCTCATGGGCCTGTCACAGGGTATGTTGTATCCAAGTCTTCACGGCTTGCTTGGACAATGGTCACCGACTACGGAGAGAAGTAGAATGGGAACTTTTGTCTATGCCGGTAAGATTTGATTGAGCTATATCGAACCTTAATCAATAGGTTATCTCGTATTCTATTGCGGATGACATACATTATTGTTGAATACCTAATAATTTTGATGTGTTACAAGTTGCATTTGAACATTAGCCTTATCTTAGAAAAAAATATGTATATATATATACACATTGAAATCAATTTTTCATTAAAATAATCTACCGTTTACACAGTCCACTTCTGAACATATACTTCACTCATAAACTGCCTCAAAGGGGGATATTTACCATAATTGCCACGCTTGGCAATCGGGTTGACAACCCTAGTTTTTATTTCCATCTTCTGAATTGTTTCTTCCGCCTCCTCTCACGACACGCGCGGGACGGTATGGGATGGCGGATATTCTTACACCGCCACTACGCGGTTAGAAAAAAAATCTATCATTATCACCAATATTGGTTTAATTCTTGGCCAACACTTTCCTGTTTATATAAATTTTGTATTCCGGTTACAACCTCCAACCCTTACTGCCTAGGATTCTCTTAACAGCTTCTGCCGCCAATTAGCTGTACTTGCGTTACTGTGTAACGGTTTTAGAGAGCTAGTTTAACAACAGGCTGAGACATTGCACCTTAGAGTTCATAGATGACAACGCGTCGACGGATTCAACTCGGCTGGGCAGCGTTCGGGAAATTACGACCTATCTTCTCGTCAGGTATACCGCAATCGCTTCAAACTAAAGTGTACAACCAGTGCGTGTTGCCAGTGATGACTTACGGATCAGAGACGTGGTCCTTCACTGCTGGCCGTATGAGGACGCTCAAGGTCGCTCAGCGAGCTATGGAAGGGCTATGCTTGGAGTTTCTCTGCGTGATGGACTCAGAAATGAGGATATCCGCAGTAAAACCAGAGTGACCGACATAGCCCAACGGATTAGTAAGCTGAAGTGGCAATGGGCCGGCCATATAGCTCGAAGAACCGATAACCGATGGGGAAGAAAGGTTCTCGAGTGGCAGCCTCGTACCGGTAGGCGTAGTCTAGGGCGACCCCCCACTAGATGGAGTGACGACCTGGTAAGATATGCAGGAAGTCGATGGATGCAGGTGGCTCAGGACCGTGCTTTGTGGCATTACTTGGGGGAGGCCTATGTTCAGCAGTGGACTTGTGAAGGGCTGTGATGATGATGATGATAAACGCGTTTGTAGTTTAGTTTGTTTGAAGTTGGCCGCAGGTGTCCATGGACTGCAGCAGCCACATGGCATCAGATTGACTGACTTTTCGTTTTTCACTTCGGTTTGATAATAATAAAAGCATTTTTAATTATTACTGTTATTGTTATCAAAACTGTAAATCTATCGTATTTATATACGTTTAATTTAAATACGATAGAATCCGTATAATTAGTTTTGTACGATAATCACTTTAGCATGCAGATTGGCGGCCGCAATTTCAAACGATTGTATTAGTTACTACCTTCCGTTACTCATTAATATAATTACCGAATTTAAATTGGGATTTTCGGTTATACGAACAAATTCACAAGATGTGTATTTAATGGCTGGTATAGCTTATAATTAATTTGATATTAGATTGAAAATATAATTTAAGGTTACTGCAATATAAGTCTTATCAGAGTGTAAAATAGCCACAGAATATTAACGTTATTGTAATATGTGATGCCAAGTAGCCGCGTAATTGCGGCATGAGAGAATCCGCTACCACTTATCAACTCGTGGTAGTTATAATTGGTAACTGAAGGAAATGAAACATAGGGTAGCATTTTCTCATAACTTAAAATATTTAAATTTTCGTGTTAAATACACCTGCCATGCGTGGTAACAATAGCAAATTGCCCCTTATAAGGAAATCTATAGGAGGCATCATTTTAGAATTAAAACGGCTAGAAAAAATATATAAAATATCTTGTTGGCTTTTAGTTCCAATAAAACGAAGATGCACAAGGTTAGTCACCTTATGCCTCTTTGTTAGTTCTATCCCAACTATAAACCAGACTAGCCATATTTTTGATTAAAACCATTACACAGGTTGATTAAACCATTGTTCTGCTACGTAATACAACCGCACTTCTTCTTCTTCATTTACGTCTATCGGTCCCAGAGGGGTCCACAATCCTAACACATTTTGTGGTAGAGCCATGCTGCAGTTTTATTAGAAGTATAGTTTTAGCACGAATGGGTCGGCATGACCGGAGAAGAAGCACGCTCTCACAGAATACCAACGTAAAATAGTAGCTTAATGCTACTGTGTTTTTATGGTAAGTGTAGAGAACCGGAGATCCTTTTTACTGGAAACGAGGCATTCCATCTTAGTCCTCATGGGTGACAACGCATCTGCATTTTGATTCGTAATCGGCGATAGAAGTAGATCTCTATGGGCCACAGCAACTACTTACCGTCAGGTGGACTGTGTGCTCGTTTGTCATCCTATATTATAAAAAAGAACGCCTCAAGAAGGCGATTCCTCACGTCCTTAAAATATATCATCCTATTTATATAATTTGAATTACAGGGGCTCAGCTGGGTACGATCATTGAAATGATGATGGCCGGTGCACTATCCGCTGGACCTTGGGGCTGGCCCTCAGTATTCTACGTGGCAGGAATCACTTGCCTCATTTTGGGAGCTGTATGGGTGATCTTCGGCGCTTCCACACCCAGTACTTGCAGATGGATCTCCAAGGAAGAAAGGAAATATATCGAGATGAATATTGGCTCAGCAGATATCAGTGAAAAGAAGGTGAATTTCTTATTATATATCTTTATTATTACAACTTACAAGAATCCACAGCTGAACATAAGCATCCTCTATACATTGCCACAAGGAAGAACTTGGTTACTGTTGCCCCACGGGTCGGCAACCGCTATCTTTTATCATTGTTAGTTGTTATTATAAAATGCTACTGCCATTTCTTGTATCAGGTACCAACTGTCGCCTCCTATGACACCCACGGGATGAAATGTGTACTGTGTGAACAGTACACATGTGTTGGAGTTGAACGTCTATCAACTCGTACGCGGTGTCAGCGTGTTTTTTCTCCAGCCTGACAGATTCATTCGTAGCTAGAGCGTAGAATAAAACTATTTTACGGATTTTATCGCGTTTAATATACTTATTTTTAACTCCCGACGTTTCCATTCCGATTGTCACGTGGATGGGGGGGAGGGGCGAGATGTTTATCGTTCCGATGTCGTGGTTAGCCCTGGTACCTTACATTTTTAAATATGTATTAGTTTTTGGTCCGATCTACGCAGAATGAGCTTACAGTATATTGAATTTTTGCAATGGTATGCTTGGGTTTGGATTTAATTTTGTTAACTATAGGATCCCAAGCAGATGGCAGCACCCATCCATCTTCTCTATAGAAATTAGGATGTTTTTTTTATTTCAATAACCTCACATATCATCCTTGGTAAGAATCGGTGTTCTTTTGCAAGGATTTGTAGTTTATTAAATCTGATAAAATGGCGGGGACGATCTTGTTTACTCATGACGACTTCGACGAACATGTTTACTACAGCTGTAGTGTTGCCGAATAGAATTGTTAATCGACGACAACTCATAACCTATATAAATAAGTGGTAGGATTAATTTTCTTTCTACAAGTCCATCTGGGTAGGTAACATAAGTAAAAGCCTATTGCTAGCGCGAAATGGAAGTGCTTTCAGTGTTGTGAGGACATAGACACACAGGAAAATTACAAGCTGTGAGGCCTGCAATTGTCCTGTCATTCTAAAACCTCTTTGTTTGCAGTTGATTGCAAGTATTCATGTGCTGTGTAGCCAGAGCCGATTTACATTTCGACAAGTACAGTAGCAAGTTTCGTTACAGTGCAGTTGACAGTAAACGGTCAGTAGTGTTCAAATTTTTTCGTGGCGAATTTAGTTAAAAAAGTAAAATGCTTTGCGTCCTGTCTACTTATGCACTAAACTAAACTCGCTCGTTCACACGAGCGGCGAGTTTAGTTGCGGGTGAATGGAGACGCGCGAGAGGTCAACACTTCGAACTAAACTCGCCGAAAAATAGACCTGCCAGCTATCCCGTTCAACTTCATTGTTACCTTGCTTTTTATCCCATTAATGGCCGTTCAAACAAGATTTTCTACTTAACTCCCAGGTTCGCAATTTAACTCGCTACTGTACTTGTGGAAGTGTAAATCGGACTCTAGACGGAGTGTCGGATACTTTGTCACTTCAGTTTGCTTAAAACAACGCGTCTCTCGCAGACAACTGACAATGACTACGATACGTGTGTTGGAAACAATCCTGCAGCTCGCAGCACTACAGCTAAGCCGTTAATTACTACGACACCGAACTGTCTTAATATGTACCTTAAACTTTTACAGAGTTTAATGCTACATAACTTAGCATTTTTCTGGAATTGCAGCATGTTTAATTGAAAATATGCAGCCCACAGTGACTTAGTAATGTAGAAATTATATTTGTTGCAGAAAATGAACACTCCCTGGAAAAGCATTTGGACATCGTTGCCATTCTGGGCGATTATTCTCGCGCACAGTGGCCAAAGTTTAGGATTTTGGACTCTTCTGACAGAAATTCCTTCCTACATGAACAAGGTTCTTGGAGTAAACATAAAAAGTGTGAGTAAACCTTTATTATTTTTTTTTTGTACGAGTGTTAATAGTATTTTTATTAGCATGCATAATATATATATATATAGAATATATTATACAGTACTTGCTTTATTCTATTTGAAAATAGTTTTTATTATATTACTACTATATTATAAAAATCTATTCTTCAAAATGTTTTCCTTCACCGCGATGCAGCACGCACATGACGCATAAATATTAGCTTTACGTGCTTTAGGATTAGCAATACACCTAATGAATATAAGCTTTAGGAATAAAAACCAAATTGTTACCTTGATACCTTACCAGGTGAACTCCTAGCCAGAGGAGTCCTACCACCAACATGTAGTGCGACAACGTGTCACAGATTCTATGTAGCAACCGTAACTACACAGCTCAGGAGCCGTACGCCGCAAGAAATCGAGAGGCCAAACAAGCACACCTATTAATAAATAGATGCTGGCCTATAGACACAGCTTACATCTTACTTCGATTGGAAAACAAAATGCTGATACGCTGTACCCTGAGGACTATGAGAGACCGCCTAGTTTTTAGCAAAAAGGGTTTTCGAATATCTACACGCACCATACGACGCACAGTAGCATTAAGTTGCTGTTTTACGCTGGTGTTCTGTGAGAGTGTGGTCTTATACCGCTTGAGCCGACCCATTCGTGCTGTAACTATAATATAGATGCAGTGAGGCTCTACCACGTCCAGCGTGGCAAATCTTAAAATATCATTTGTTCACTGCAGCCCATCAAAAGTTCACTGCAGAATTAAAACCTCCGCCATAGATTGCCTCATATGATATATTTGCCACACTTGCCAAGCTTAGCAGGCGGGGTGACACCGGCATGATTTTTATTTTGAGTTGTTGTCAGGAACAGCTGCCGACCATTTCTTTGTTTTACTTTCTTCTGTCACCTCTTTAAATACTCATGGAATGATATTAGTTAGTATATACTCTTCCGCCGCCAGTACGTGACAAAATTATTAAACTATAACGAAATAATGCTAGAACCCATTATATTTCAGAATGGTCTATTGTCAGCGCTTCCGTACGTAGCTATGTACATTCTGAGCTTCATATTCAGCTGGTCCTCCGACTTCCTCGTCAACAGAAACATAACCAGTCTGCCCACAGCTCGAAAAATTTTCAACACGATCGGTAATATTTTTTATAACTATCTAAATTATTGCATTAACTCGTAATCAGTCCACTGTCGGACATGCGCTTATGTCGTAGTGGAAATATTGACGATTGCATACATATTATAATGATCATGACTATAATCTTTGAGAGAGAGAGGAAGTACAGCGAGTCTAAAGAGCGGACTAAGTTTACTAAAATAGTATGGCTTTGTTTATGTTATGGTGTGGGAATTGAGGTTGACTTTGATGTTTCTTTTGACTTTTTAATTATTGTGTTAACATATTTATGCTTAACACGGAATTTGTGATTATCTGCAATAATAGTATCTTGCTAAATGAAACAGTTAAATACTCATGCATTCATGTGATTTAAAATCGAATTCAAAATTTCCCATGGCAACAATTTAGTTTTAAATAATTTAAAAATTTAGTTAAATTACTATTTTTTTATTTTTTTTATTTATCTTCACGCACAATCCCTAACGGGGTAGCCAGAGAGAACAGATCGCCAAGTGTCACGATCCTTACAAACCTCTTTCGCTTCTTTCAGGTTAATTAACTTCTTCATACATGCGCGTCTAGGTATCCGAGTACTCTTGACCTTCCCTTCTTCGAGCAATTTGCTCATATGGTCTTCGAAAGTTAGTCTCGGTCTACCTCGACACCTTTTAATATTTACTTTCGCTCTATATATTTTCTTCACCATTCGGTCTTCACTCATTCGCTCATTGTGCCCAAACCATTGGAGTACGCCCCTATCAATTTAATTAAACTAATTACAAATTCACGCAAGCTATGCTTAACTTGTAATGAAAATTTAAACGGGGTCCATATAAACGCCTCGTCTTGCTCAAACACTCAAGAATTCTGTAATGTTAAATCATCAAAGGGTTGAACTGCTAACCCAACAATATCTTATGACGTGATTGTTTACCATGTTGCTCTCATAACTAGATTGTGTCTCTTGCTTATTTAGGGAATTTATTTAGGAATTTCCTCAAAGTAGATCCGTACCTTTGTCTGTTTACTTACCGTTATAATTACAGCATCAAAAGTGCATCACAAGTCACCCGCTGAACGTAAGCCTCCCTCTAGGTTGCCTCACAGTTGCCATGCTCGGCTGCCTCCCTGGTTGGTAATAAATGCATTGTTTTATAGTTATCATTAGAAAGACGCTGGCCTTGCCCTTCTCCTGGTTCGTCGCATTCTGTCGCCTGTTACGATACCCACGGGACGGTATGGGGGAATCACCCTTATTTTTATGTACTATTTATTGCCTCATGCGTGGCAACTATGTCCAAGGGCAGACCTTGGACATAGTTGCCACGCATGGCAAGCGAATCAGCAAGCGCACTTTTCAACCGACTTCAAAAAAGAAGGGAGTTCTCAATTCGACGCATTTTTTATGTGTGTTACCTCAGAACTTTTTTCTGTGTGAACCGATTTGAATGATTCATTTTTTATTTGAAAGCTGTTAATTCTCACGTGGTCTCGGATAAATTTTATCGAGATTTTACCATCAAATTTGAGTTATTCTTAATTATTAATAAATTTGATCAAGATCTGACCAGTAGTTTAGTAGTGTTTAATAATGCGTATTTGATTGACGTCGACTACATTGATGATGTTCTCATTTTATTTATATTGAAGTCGGTTGTACAAAATTTTTAATTTTACCACTTGTATGACGTTGTTATTAAAAATAAGCTGATGCCCATCTTCTGGTTTGTTGCCTTCGGTATGGGGTAATTAGCTTAATTACTTATGTTCTTTTATCTGTTGTTTATTTTTAGCTTTCTGGGGTCCCGCAGTCGCTTTGCTTGGCTTATCGTATATACCAGCTGGTCACTTGACACTTGCGGTGGCAATACTGACGATCACCGTCGGACTCAATGGTGCTCATTACGTCGGGTTCTTGGTAAGTAAATTGATAACAAAACGTAGAATACTATCTACACATACGTTGGAGTTTGATGTACATGCATAGCTATTTGGTCTGTACACATAAAGTCGTTTGGTGACGATCATCTCCATCTCACACCGCGATTGTTGTAGTTGAGAACCATCGAACTATGAGAGTGAAGAAATAAAGAGTGCCCCTGCGCATGCGTCCACACTCGACACTCGGGCGCTATAACCCAGTCCTGAGCAGATGGTTAGTCTTCGTTGAGACTGGCTGACGTGACCGAATTTTGGTCTAGAGGAAAAAGAAACAGAAAGTTTTTATTCAACATAGATTATAAACAATAACTATTTGAAGGCACGTATTTGTTTAATTTACCACTGGTTCGAAGAAAAACCTCAGTTCTGGGAAAAACCAGCAAAAGACCCAGCAGGACATTTTTTTAAAAATAAAATAACAGCTTACAGTCATAAGTATTATACAATTAACGACACAAAACAAATTAGAAATGGCTTGCTGGAGATCACGTCATTTCCAGGGGATATATCGTCCATAAATGCCTTAATATTATAATCCATATTATACAAACTTAGTTTAATAAAGTTTTTGAACTTTGGGTATGTCAAATTTTTTATATTTTTTGGGATTTTGTTGTGAAATACATCACCCCAAAAATGAACTGCTGACTCGGTTGGAGTCGAGTAGCTGGTGCTAAGACTAGCTTTTATCTGTTCCTAGTATTTACAGACTGAACATCACTTATTTTCGTGAGACTTTTTTTTTTATATTATTGCACGTACATTAAATTTTCATAAATAATGTATTAAGAAACCAAAATTATTATATTAATATCCTTAAAATTTTGTGTCAGCGTTTTAAGGCCGAATACGACGCGAATGACCTTGCTAGTTTCGCAGCAAACCACGCGCCGCCAGTACCTGCGCTTTGTTTATATAGACATGTATATCCTATAATCAAAGCCGTACGGGCTTTGATTATATTGGACTGAACTAGCTCAGATGCAGAGTAATGAACAACACAGAGAGCATTGCTTACTTCTTAAATAAATTTTTCTTATTTATAATATTAGTTCCAATAGATTATAAATTCTGTACTTTATTCGTTATAAAATATTGTTCGAAAAGTTATTGAATTGATAACGATTTTTTTTCTTAATTGGTGCATCGTACCTAAATAATCTCATATAACTGAAAATGTTTGTTCTTGTGAGTCTTACAAGATGCCGTAATGCAAATTGCATAAATAATAAAGAAAAAAAAAACTAAAAAGTCGGTGATTGCCCCATAGTGGGGATAGGTACTGCGTATGTTAATTCTCACAAGACTACTCCGACTGGTCAATCACTTCACATCCGAAGTATTTCGGTTTTTCTTAATTATGTACTTTTACCCCATGATTTCGGACAATACATTGACTGACATTATTTGCGGTCTCTGTGCTTGCACTACTCTGTACATTCTTTTCCGACTGGGTCTTGATATTTTACATTTTTAGTGTTTCTCACTTGAAACTAGAAAAGTATAAATGATCAGTTTGGCTAATGTAAATGAGTAAAAATGCAACCTATTAGGCAGCCTAAAACAAAAAATTACCTTACTAAATATAAGTATTAACCTCAAAATACAACATTCGAGCAGTGTTCATGCGATAAACTCTCTTTGTTTTACCACTTAGGTAACATTTATTTCTTTTCCTACCCATATTTACATTTATAGACACTTAAGCGCGTATAAAATAATAAATTAACGATTTTCGCTACAGACACATCGACTGTTGTTATCTTACGTCACACGTCGAAGCGCCTGGTAATTTATTACGGCAAACTTTTATCTGGCAATATACGATATTATTATTAGGTGTTTTTAATTAAAACGAATTATGTTAATAAATAATATCTTGTATCGAAAATAAAGATTGCAGGTACCTTCGGAATTACAATAAAACAAACATTTTTACGTAAAAGAAATTTTTCCTAAATTAAAATTCACAGAGTTTTGGAAGAACAATAATTTTATATATCATTTCTTAACATTCTTTTATTTGTTGGTATATTCATTTATTTTAAAATTTTAAAATGACGGTGACATTGTGAAGGACCCGAACAAACCTACAAAAATGTTTTAAAGCTTAGAATTACTTCAGGTCAAAGTTCTAGCCAAGAGAAATACATTAATTTTCGCCAGTTCTCTTCGTATTCGGCCTTAAATCATAGATTGCTTTTATTATAGTCTTCTGTAAAACAAATATAATTTCAGTGTCAGTCGAGTGTCTCCATAGCAAAATACGGTACGATATTATACTATGGAAATAGCTCAAGTAAACTAGTCTAGCTGTTTACACCCTGGTAAGAAAATATTTTAGTTTTAATAAAAGGTTTTCTCTTACTTCAGATTTCACATATTGACATCTCCCCTAACTTCGCCAGCACGTTGATGGGCATCACCAATGGCTGCGGCAACATTTTCTCTATCATGGCACCTTTGAGCGTGTCGCTCGTTGTGAAAGACGAGGTAAGTTGACTTACTCCTGTATTGGATTGGTGATAATCATATTTGAGTCAATCAAGTCAATTTTAGTTAAGAACGATTTTTTATATAAGGCTTTTGCTCGAATTCATAGATCGATAACCTTTTTGACGATAATAACTAAGTACTTTTTTTCAGTCAAGTGCATCAGAATGGCGAAAAGTTTTCTTCATATCGATTGCGTTCTACTTCCTAAGCAATCTTTTCTTCATTTTATTCATGTCAGGAAGAGTTCAAGACTGGAACGAGCCACAACACTCCAAAACATTAGGTGAATTTCTTATTATTTGTTTTTGTAATTTTATAAGATTAAATTTTTTTCACATAACACATTTTTAATAGAAGTAAGCGTAACAACCGAGCACGCAGTCCACCTGATGGATAGTGGCGGTGTAAGAATATCAACTACCACATGCCATACGTGTCGTAAGAGGCGATAAGGAGAAACTGGACCAGAAAATGAGGTTTCCGAACGCTCACCGTAACAAACTCAGCAGGATTCAGCTGCTATTTTACGTAGGTATTTGGTAAGAGGATGGTCATTCACCAATCGAGTTGACTTATTCGTGCTGCAGCCGTAACGCAGCTGCAGCTCAAAAAAAAAACATTATAAAGAACAACCCTCTTGTCACCGGCGATGATTATTATCAATATTAGTTATAAAAATATAATATGAATTTCTTTTAGTGTACTTAATTTTATTCACGTGAGTCAGTTTTAACAATAAATTATTAAGTATAGTCTTTTTTAATACTATCACAATAAACTTTACGAATACCTTTGTAATAAATATTTAGTTACACAAATTGCTATAAAATCTTACAAGGCGTTTTCACGTACTGTACGTGGTAGAGCCGTGCTGCAGCTTTATTGTGGTTGTGGCGCGAACGGGTCGACTCAACCGACCTATACTCCCACAGAATACCAGTGGGCTCTTATGAAAGGCCAAAAACACATATTGATTATAAGCTAATAATTACTATTAATACTCCTAGGAACTAAGCTAGCCAAACAATTCAATTAAAATATGCACTTTTCTGTCTTGTTCGGCGAACTTAATAGGTCGGGGTAAAAGTTGCTTCGTATTTTATATACACATTTTTTTTTTCAAAGTTTTATTACATTTAATTGTAACATATTATATATATGTGGTATTTTGTTCGATAACTTGTCGTCGCCTTTGAGAGTCTCAAAGCCGTTTTCGTATATTATTTTGCAATTATAATATATTGTAAAAAAGCGAGAAGTAGCTCAGCTGAGCCGTGAAATGTCGTATTTGATAATTTATTCATTTTGCCTTTTTTTAGAAAAACGTTACCTCTTACCTCTTACACTAGGATTTTCCCTTGGATCATGGGAGGAATTAACATACATATACTTCATAAGGACAAACCCGGAAGCCCGGAACAATTATTTGAAGGACATGCAAATACTTGTTCCGTGCGGGAATCGAACCCGACATCAAAATAAGAATAGGGACAAATGTTCAACAGTTGACTTATAATAACATAAATCACTGATAGGTACTTATGTAGAATAGAATAGAATAGAATAATTTTTATGCAATATAGTATAGTATAATAATTTTTTACCACTGTTTCCAAAGACACCTCTATAATGTGAAGAAACGGTTTTTTTTCAAAGTTTTCTTTTGGAGACCGCTATAAATTATTTACTAAATGTTTTTTTCCAGAGGATGGAGTAAAAGAAGCCGAGGAAGTTAACAGCAGTAGAAAAAACAAAACTGTCGTTGAAAAGTTTTGATAGTAATCGCTGTTTTTTTTTAAACACTAGTCATATTTAGGTAAATGAAAGACTATGAGTTGTTTACGATAGCTAATGTAAATCTAATGTCATGGAAGCTATATATGTACAATAATGCATAAAGTACGAAAACGTTCACGATGTTTTTATGATAACGATGCAGTTACTTTAATGTTATATACATACATATAAATATAATTGAAGTGACTGTTTGTAATATTGAAATAGCTGACTTCTATTAAGCTCAGTGGTCATTTCTGCCGGTCATGTCTGCCTGTCTGCCTGGCCGAGCTGATTTTTGTACTGGCTGTGCCTGCTGTGATCGAACTTTACAAACCGATAGAGGGCAGTGTCAGGAGTGATCTAGAACATACTTTATCCGATAAACTTGAATTTTTTTTTTTTTTTTTGAAAACCCACAAAGATTGATAGCCACATTAATAGATCATACACAGGCAAAGCCGAAGCGGGTCGTACATAAATGTAATCTAGTGTAAAATATAGTGATGTAGATAACTAATCAATACACGAAAAATTATACAGTCAATTTTAAGTTATTAGGTAAATGAATGACGTTATAAAAGCGTGTAGCGGATGCTTCTAACATTTTTTTTTAATTAGGGTATTTTAATCACAGAGGAAGCAATATAACACATATTGCCTATTTCGTGCCCCTTCAGATTGGCATGGTAGTAAACTACTAGTATATCTATAAGGTGATGATGTTATGAAAAAAAAGTCGTAAATAATTTAATAAATCTTACCTATTTTTAACGTTTCACAGCAGTGCTTGTACATCTGTGTTCTGTGTTCCAGTCTAAGGGTATAGGGAGCCAGTAAAATAACAGGCTGTTAGAAATTCCATCTTAGTCTTCAGAGATGATAGCGCATCTGTAGCTTTCTTTGTTGGAAGTTGTTTGTCAATGTCCATGAACTGCAGTAGCCGTTTTCCATCAGGTCTGGACAATTTTTTTTTTAATTCAGATTTATAAAAAATATGGCTATAGTAATTATAGCTAGAATAGACTTTAAGTAATAAGAAAAAATATAATTTAAAAGGAATACGAAACGTGATGTACAATATAAAAGTATAAGATGTGGTATAACTTTTATAAAATTTATTTAAACATTATTGTAAATATTGTAAAGTAAAATACTCAGACTAGCAAAGAAAGTTAGACGGAGCGCTGCGTATATGTTAAGTGACAAAATCATTGTCAACCAACAATATGGTTTTAGTCTCAAAGTTTCTCTAACAGTGACGCTTTCGGGCTGTAACAAGAAAAAGAAAATGTGTGCGTGAGTGCAGGCATCAAGAAGTTGAGCATGGTTTTCGCGTCACTTGAAATTGAAATGTACCTATGCTAATACACCGCTCAGTCCATATTTCTTTGCTGTTCTGAAGTAATATAATATAATAAATTGCTAAATTATTTAATTTTATTTTCTAACAATATGACCTTGTTCTTGTTCTTGTTGTTCACAATTAACTAAAAAGTTAATTTGCTAGGCGTAACTAAAGGGAACTAAGTTTTATCGCCAAAGCATGCATATACTAATATTGGAGGGCCATCTGCGGGGTTCACCCATGTTAAGACAAGGTTACGTCTATATTTTTACGTCCGGGAGTATGTCTTTAAGAACCTGTATATAAATAGTTTGTTACTATGTGATTTTTGTTTTTTTATTATATTTTTTGGTATCAGTCATGACGACATCCTTATAAATTATTTAAAAATATGTGTTAGTCAAATGGCTTGGACTTTGAGCCTTTAGTATATTTTTTCAAGAATGTCAATATTATATTGTAATCCACGCGCGAAGATTTACAGATAGCATCGCAACAAAATAACGGATGGCTTGTTATCAATGAAAATATGTTTTTTTTTTATTTTAAATCGAAAGGGGATTGCCCACTCTTCATAGACACTTCGGCCATGGGTGCCCACATATAAAAGCATATAGATATGATAATATGCAATTAAAACAATGAATGAAATAATATGAAATAAAAGAAATGGTTAAGGAATTGCTTTAAAAAAAGTCGGGGTTTTGAAGATGTATAAGTTTTTATTTTCACAAATGCAGTTTTTTTAACAACTATTTTTATCGATTTTATCGCGTTTTATTTCTTTGATTTTTCATTCCAGACGTTTCGGGTGCTTTCCAACACCCATGGTTACGGCGGACTGAGGTGACTGACGTCCCAATGTCAGTGTTAACCCGGAGTACCTTCAGATTTTTAATTTTTATTTATGGTCCGATCTACAGAATGAACTTACTGTGTCTTGAAGTCTTGCAATGGTATGCTTGGGTTTAATTTTAATTTCATTATTTACAGGGTCTTAAGCAGGTGGTAGTACCAAGCCTCCTTCTCTATTGATTTTTTTTATTTCAATAGTCTCAGGTATCGGTCCTTGATAGGAATTGATGTACCTTTTAGAGGATTTGTGGTCTATCAAATCTTTTTTATACGTCTATCTGGTTGGGGTCATCCAGGATATGATCACAAACTGCAAACTTCCCTGAACCTTGATGCTTCATGTCAGCTCGCTTCAAGATGTAGCCAATATTGTCTGTGACACCCCTGACAAATGCTAGTACTGCACATGCTTGACTGTGGCCGGCTTCACTCGGTCACTGTGACGTAGGCGCGGGCCCGAAGCTTGTTGACGTGCAGAACCCGCTTGACGTGCTGAAGCTCGACGGCTCGATGTTTGCTGCCACAGATTCCTTGGCTCTCTGTAACAAAGATTTGCTCACGGTAACTAACTGTGAAGGATAATGGCGAAATTCATTGTTTTCTATACACAGTGTGACCTATGGTGTTGTTAGAATTTTGGATGACTAACGCATCTAGTAAAGCTAAGGAATTATTTGCCTCTAATTTACACATCAATACATCATTCAGGAACTGAGCAGGAAGCAAAATATTAGTCTGATGCCGTGCCCAACCTAAATACCATATTACTGTCATAACATGGGCACAGCATCCAACAGTTCGAGGGCCGACAGTACTTTTTAATTGCACTTCTACCAGAACCATTGCCACTAATTAAAATATATATAAAATACACTTTACGACTAATGGTGATGACTTGCAATTCTAGCCCTAAGTAAAGATCAGCTAGGGCTTAAGTTTATTCCTTCCATAATGGTGCTCCTCTGGTTATCACAGAGTTCTATCCGGTAGCAACCATTAAATCTTATATGCTCACCATAATAGTAGCGAGCTTGCTTTAATTGGTATGTGACACAAGCAATTAATATTAAGTCGCTGTAAGTTAAAACAGGAAATTCCCTAACATTTTAAAGTCTACATTTATATTTCTAAAGTCTGCCTGCCCTAGCTCTATTTAGATTGCTTTCCCTAGCATACTCAGACAAATCATTATTCGTCTCTATATTTTGGTAAACTATTTCAAGTATTTGAGCCGCATCATCCCTGTCCCTTATTTTTGTGTGGAATTTACTAATTATAGCAGCAGCCACAGCAGTCTATCATCAAATGTGTAGAAGCCCTGTTAAAGTAATTTTGATGAAATATTTTAAATTCAGTTTTAAAAATGCCATTCACCACCTCTACTACTCATATCGACACATAGTCACGGCTCTGGATTTATTAGCATATCTTGTCATTAACTGAGATTCACCATCTGCTGGAGACATTGCTGCGGCCCTTAGACATCCACATCTATCCTCTATTACAAATCAAAATGCAGATGCGCTGTCACCCGTGAGGACTATGATCATTTTCTCGTTTCCAGTAAAGAGGGTCTCCGGTTTTCTACACTCACCATACGAAACACAACAGCATTAAGCTACTATTTTACGCTGGTATTCTGTGAGAGCGTGGTCCTTCCCCGGTCGAGCCGACCCATTCATGCTACAACTATACTTCTAATATAACTGCAGCACTTCTCTACCACGTATAACACACGTACATAGTAATTGCAATCACAAAAGAGACATACTCGCAATGCTGATGAAACATTGAGTCCATTGGAATTGTTATAACCAGGTAAAAAACATTGATTTGGTGTTAGTGGCGCTTTTAAATAATTAGTTAGCAGTACACTGTGTGATGTATGATCTAAGCTTTGTTGTTCTGGTGCAATACATTACTTACTTCAGATTGCAAAGATGATGGACTAGATGATTCAGATGGTTCCCGTTCTGCAGTTGAATGTGATGCTGTTCTATCAGTTCATTGCCAGCAATTATGATACACACGCCATGACAACGGCAACTGAAATAATGTAAAATACAAAAAATGAAGTCAAAGTGAAAAAACTGAACTCCTCACAGTGATGTAAATAAATGACAAATTATTGTGGGATTAGTAACAGGTTTTCAAAGACAGGATTATTTTAAAACCTATGAAACCTGTGAAGGTACTTAGCGAGTAATGATAATGATTTATAGTACGAATACCAAAGCCATGTCGGAAATACCAAACCTACCTACATCCTGAAATTATCCTGAATAAGAATTTTTAAATGTCTAAATACTAGACCTAGCCACGCTCGTCGTACTTAACAGAAATATTGAATCACACTGATACTGTAAAAGCAGCGCACAATATTTATTATGAATAAGAAGAAAACTTTTTAATAAGTTTTGCTTAATAAAAAGTTTTTTTTGAGCGGCTCTTTTTGCTAAGGAGTTTATTTGAGTTTGTTACTAATTACTACCCGTGCGGTTAAATAAACGGATTGAAAATTAGTGTTGCCCAAAATCGGTCTTGGTCTTGTTCTTGCATTTTTGCAAGACCAAGACCAAGAACAAGACAGCCTAATTTTAGCAAGACCAAAACCAAGACTGACCGTGCAAGCTTTGAGCAAGAACAAGACTAAGCCTGCGAGACTCTTGCGTCTTGCAGTTAGGAATGAGTGTCCTTTCAGGGAGTATAGGAGTTCGGGTATACGCTTAGGGACTCTATGACACACAAAAATTATATAAAAAAATTTGAAAAATTGGGCTTATGCGCATTACAAACA